CTAACTTCATGTGAAACTGTGCAAGCAACACGATTGGCCTTGCCTGTCTCCCACCTCCCCTGACGGTGACCCACTTTTCACCTTCACAGCCAGTGCTCACCGTTTGCGCGCCCCAACCAATAATCCGAGAAGCTCAATGACTAACGTGATAAGCACGTAGTAAAAATATTTATTCCCTAGGGCAGTGTCTCAAAATGTATATATACACCAGACTTTATATATCCAGCCTATGGTTAATTGGACAGTTCATCCTGTTATTTACACATTCTATACGCTTAATGACTGTTAGCTGCTAAAACATTCCAGGACTTCTCTCCCGGTGCACAAATGGACTTATTTCTGTCAGGTATGTATCAGCAGTGAGCCTGCTGGGTTACAGGACTAAACATATGCTTAGCTTTAGTAGATACTATGAAAGAGTTTTCCAAGTGGTTGTACTAGTTTCCTCTCTTCCTAGTTATGGATGAGTTCTGATTGCCTCCCATCCTCATTAATATTTGCTATCATCAGGTTTTGATTTTAGATAGTCTGGTGGATATGTAGCAGTATTGAGTTGGGGTTTAACTCAGAATTTCTATGATATATTTCTGTGTTTATCGAATTCTAGCTGAATTCTCCCGAGGTCAAATAACATATTTTGTACGATGTCAAGCATTAAAAATTTGTTGATACACGTATGGCCCAGCATATGATCTATTTTGGTAAATGTTTCATGTGCGTGTGATAAGAATGTATATCCTCCACTTCTTGGGTACACGTTCTGTTAATGCCAAACATTGTTTATCATTTTGTTTAAACTTCCTATATTCTTTTTTTTTTCCAATATTTATTTTTGAGAGAGAGAGAAAGAGAGCACATGAGCAGGGGAGGAGCAGAGAGAAGGGGAGGGAGAGAATCCCAAGCAGTCTCCTCGCTGTCAGCACAGAGCCCCACGTGGGGCTTGATCCCATGAACCATGAGATCACGACCTGAGCCAAAATCAAGAGTCAGACGTTTAACCGACTAAGGCACCCAGGCGCCCCGAAACTTCCTATATTCTTAATGATTTGGCACGGGGGGGCTCATACTACAACAGTAGCTGAGGTTGTTTTTAAAAATTTTTTCCATTTGACTAAGATTGTGGGTTTTATTTTTGTCTTTAGTTCTGTCAATTTTTGGCTGTATATGTTTTAAGGCTACATTATTCGATCATCGAAATCTTAAATGATGATATCTTCCTGGTGAACCACACCTTTGGTCATTGTGAAACATCCTTCTTTGTCTCTGGTTACGTCCACCTTAGTCTTCCCTGTCTGATATCAGTAACTGGCTTTAGTTAGTGTCGGTGACTGTGGCCATTTGTATTTTCCAAAGGTGGCCCCAGCGTTTCCCATCTGGCTCGTTCCCTTTACTCCTGCAGTGGTAGCAGAATTCACGTTGCCTCCTTTTGAGCCCCTGTAGTCCTTTGTATGATTTCTGAGGCTAGCTCATGAGCATCAGTGCACTTCTGTCTTGCTTTCTTGAATGCCAACCCTTGGAATTCGGTCACCAGGCTACGAGAAGCCCAAACTGGCTCGCATGGAGAGACATGTGACAAGACCACGTCAGGCGCTCTAGCCTACAGCCCACCTAAGGCCCCGGATGATGTGTCAGACGTGCGAAGATGCCACGATGATACCAGCCCTCAGCGGCCGAGTCTCCCTCAGCCTCAAGTCCTCTTGGACCTTCAAGTCTTTCCAGCCGAGGCCCTAGACATCTTGGAGTGAAGAGAAGCCACACCACTGTGTCTTGTCCAGGTTCCTGATTGTGAACATTAAAAACGGTTCTGACACCACTAGGTTTTGAAGGTGTGAGCAATTGTAACGGAACGGGGTAGTGTACGTTTTCTATCCTTTGTTAATCGTTGCATATCTCTATGTTTTTAAGGTGGGTCTCTAGTAAACAGTAGGTAGGCTTTTAAAAAAAAACTGAGTCTGATAATACGGCTTTTAATTGGAGTGTTCAGTTTCTATTCTGTTTAACATAATTATTTCTCCACGGGTTTGAATCTACAATCCTACCAAGTTCTTACTATTCACTATACTTTCGCTATATTCTTTTTCTCTTCTCTCTTGCCTTCTTTTGGATTGACTCTATTTTAGTTTTGCACCGTCCCCTCATTAGCTTGTCAGTGACACACTCTGTTGTCAAACTTTTAACACTTCCACTGCATGTGGCAACCTGCATCCTGGACTTCCCACTCACATTTAAAGTCCCAGACACCCTCTCAAGATAACAGTCTTAAGTGTAGAGTGAGGTATGCGGACAAGAAGGCCAAGAAAGAAATCAAGAGCGAAAATTGTATCTAGGAAAGAGCTCGGTGTGTGGTTTCTGACCCAGGAGGCTGTCTGGTCTACGTCCATCGGAAACGTGTTTAGTTTCTGAAGGGATCATGTTTGCAAAGGAACCATGAGCCCTAAAAAGCCTTTGGCTGTTTTCAGCCAAATCTGGGCCCCCAAATTTCCAGAAGTAGGACACAGTCTGCCAAAGCAACAGCCTTCAAGGAAAACACACTCTCTCCAAGGGCGGTTCAGATGTGGTTTGATAACAGACAAGGAAAAAGGCCCAAACGGGGAAGCTAGAGGCCACACAGAACAACAGACAAGGGAAGGCTACCCTGAGAGCCCAATCAAGGTCGAATCTGGGAGATCTTCCTGCTTCTCGGGCAGACATGCTCATTACTTGTATGGACTGACGACTGTACCTCCTGTTCCTCCTTTTAGCAAATGGGGGCTTGTCCTCCTTCACCCTGGCCAGCCTGTGACATGCTGCACTCAGACCTGGGCAGCGGATGCAGACCTTCTGGAGAACCTCGCCCTTTTTTTTTTTTTTCAAGGTTTTATTTAAAAAAAAATTTTTTTTTAACGTTTATTTATTTTTGAGACAGGGAGAGACAGCATGAACGGGGGAGGGTCAGAGAGAGAGAGGGAGACACAGAATCTGAAACAGGCTTCAGGCTCTGAGCTGTCAGCACAGAGCCCGACGCGGGGCTCGAACTCACGAACCGCGAGATCATGACCTGAGCCGAAGTCGGATGCTTAACCGACTGAGCCACCCAGGTGCCCCTCAAGGTTTTATTTAAATTCTAGTTGTTAACATACAGTCAGAGAACCTAGCCTTTGTACCCAGCGTTTGGTAACCTGCTTTGGGGGTTGTCTCCCCTGGGGTTTCACGAGTGGGGAGAAAAATACCATGAATATTAACCGCCTACAGGGGTATACTGCAGCTGAGACTGGTCTGTACTACCAAACCCATTTCCTCTTTTTTCGGGGCTCACGGACCTCATTCCCCATCCTCCCTTGTAAGAAAGCACGGCTTTGCGGAGTTCGAGCCAATGGAAGAGAAAAGGGCCATTTTGAGGCCTGGCCCATAAAAACCTCCTGAGAGATCCCGTCCCATTTTGTCTTGATGCTAAGGGGCACGGTGACTTTAGCAGCCTGCCTTAAGAGGGACGAGCTACAGGCGAGAAGGAGCCTTCCTTCCGGAGCCACGGCTCCGGCACCTGTTTTGGAATTGATGTGAGTGGGAGAGAAATATCCATTTGCTAAAGCAAGCTAGCCTTACCCCAACTACCACACAAAGCCTTTCTTCACCTACCTCAATCACACACAAAACTCTCTCTGCTGTGTCTGGTAGTTTAGAGAGGGGAGGGATATACTTTAAACACTCCGTCCTGATAGCGTTTCTAAGTGGGAACAGAACGCCGAAATTTAAAGGAAAAGTCCCCAACTCCATTTGGACAAAGTGTCCTGGCCCACGAGCGGTGACCCCTGCCCTGTTCCCATCTCACTCCAGCGGGGAAGGCTTTTGAACCCTGGGAGGCAGGAGCCAGCAAGACCCCAGGACAACGGAAGGAAAGTGGACTCAGGCAGAATCACAGATATGTTGAGGCAAAGTTACCTTGAGGTATCCTCGTTGGGTCCTTCCTCCCGTGTTTACAGATAAGGAGACACAGGCTCCAGAATTAAAGGGAGTCGTCGCATAAATTTGGTGACAGGGCTAAGATTAGAAGCCGGGTCTCGGGGCGCCTGGGTGGCGCAGTCGGTTAAGCGTCCGACTTCGGCCAGGTCACGATCTCGCGGTCCGGGAGTTCGAGCCCCGCGTCGGGCTCTGGGCTGATGGCTCGGAGCCTGGAGCCTGTTTCCGATTCTGTGTCTCCCTCTCTCTCTGCCCCTCCCCCGTTCATGCTCTGTCTCTCTCTGTCCCAAAAATAAATAAAAAACGTTGAGAAGCCAGGTCTCCTACTATTATCTATGGCAGAAGAAGACAGGCACACACCATTGCTGCAGCCGGCGGTCAAACATTTCTTTGATGTCTCATAGTTTTCCTGAAGATTTCATGCCAATTCCCCAATCGATACCATAACATACGCTCAATAATTTTATGTGAAAGAAAGTTTTAAATGACTCGTCATCAACTAGAGAGGACTCTCCCGGAAGACGCACTATATTTCTCTACCCCTGGATACACTACTACTTACCTCCAGGCATGCACACACCCCAGGCTGAAACACGCGGCTGGATCGCAGACGCAAAATGATCTTAGCACAAGGGCCTGGGCCTGAACTCTTCTTGTCCTGACTCCTTCCCTCTATGGTCTAGCACCCAGATTCAGCCTCAGTCCTAGAGAGTCAAGCATCACCCTCCAGGTGGGCCGGTCGGACTCCGACTTGTCCTTCGAGGTTCAGGTCCAACATCGTCTCCTCTAGGAAGCCTCCTATGACCCATCCAAGTTTCCCTGCCCCACCCCCCACGCACTAGGCCCGAGGCATCCTAATTCCCGCACTTCCCACGCCACGTTCCAGTGCCGTCTGTTGGCATGTTTGCCTCTTCCAGAAAGTATGACACATAAAAAAGTACTCAGTAATAGAAACGAGTGACCTGAAGGCGGTGCCTGGGTCTCCCTGGGGCCCACATCTCGCGCTCGCCGGCCCACTCCTGCTGGGGCCGCCCGGGTAGGGAGCTCGGCAAGTGCACACTTACTGGCTGGGGGAGGGGCTCCGGAGGTAGTGGGCCTGCACGGCCCTCACACTGGTTTCATCCTCCTCACTTGGGACGACCTGCTCCTCCTCTGGGTCCCCGCTGGTCGCCATGACAGGCTGCCAGTCCCTGTGGGTTTGGCAGGAGAAAGGTGGTTAGGGAATCCGCTTCTGGAGGTTTTGTGGGGGGGAAGGGGTATATCGGCGGCGTTAGCGGGGGAAGGTCAGCGCGTACGACCCACCCCCGGGAGGGAGACGACCCATGGGGAAAGCCCGGTCTGACTTGGGTTCGGCAGGACACCGAGATGCACGCCCCAGCTGTGTCAGCTGTCCACCTTGGAGTCACAATATTTAAGAAGCGACAACCTGGCCCCTTCCTCAGATCCCGCCAAGGAGGCAGCGAGGCGACCCAGGGCTCTGCGTGGACTAAGCTAAAGCCGTTGGAAAGCAAAGGATTCCTCAGGCCAGAAGGCTCTTTCTGTTGGAACTCCCGGGGGTGCCCTCACATACACACAGGCACGTGAGCACACACACGTACGCGTGCGTACATATATGTAGGCACACGCCCCACTCGTGCACAGACGCACGCCTTGGCCTCTCCCGAGGGAGGGGCGGGTGGCCCTCTTCAGTGCCTCTCACCAAGGCCGCAGGGGTCATTGCCTTTGGCTCAGGCACCACCCTGATTAAGGAACATGAAATCCCTCCGGAGCTGGTCCCACACACGGCTGGGCCTTGCCACTCCAGGCAGAGTTGCTGCCCCTCTGCTTGTAAGTCTCGGGCTCACAGGACGCAATGAAGGGAGAGGCGCACTCACCGCGGCTTTGCCTAGATCTCCACACCAAAGGGCAGTCACCCAAGGGCTGAGGGACCCGGATAAAAGGGCCAAAAGTTCCGATCAGCGAGAGGGACCAACCTCTCTCCTCTCTTCAGTGCTTCTGCTCTGAGGGACAGGACAGCTGTTAACGGGAAATCTTAGCTACCTTCTAAATTTAGCCTCTGGCCCCATAGCCTGGCAGATCTCTGGGAGGACGGAATGCAGTCTCAGGACCCAGACCTGAAAGCTGGCCCCATTTAACTCTTTCCCTCCTGCTCCTGGCTGATTCTCTGGACACCGGACACTGACATTGAGCAGCAAAGTTAGAAGAAGGTCAGGCTTCATAGATGGAGAGGCCTGAAGAAAAGGTTTCCTTTGGACTCTCTCTCTTGCCTGCAGCTACCTATTCAAAGTCTTTCCAGAAGGCGGTCTAGTGCCACAAATCTAGAAGAACGGAACAAATTGTATCCCAGCCCCATGTCAGTCTAGAGGGTGCTGGGAAAAAATACCCAATATATAGATTGGGGCAGGGGCTCTGATGGATGTCGGGAGAGGACTGTGGTGCAACTAAAGGGTATAGTCAACGGCTTGTGACCAGGGTTACGTTTCTCTGAACAGCGATGACTCTGAATAGTAAACGAGTAGTTGTGTTCACCCTCTACAATCCCTCCCCGACGACACTCACATTCGTGGGGATGGTCAAGTGGCAAGCCTGGGTGGTGTAAAAATCCCACGAGCTTCGGGGCTCCTGGCTGGCTCAATCGATTGAGCGTTCGACTTCGGTTCAGGTCATGATCTCACGGTACAGTTCTGTGAGTTCGAATCCTACATCAGGGCTCGCTGCTGTCAGCACAGAGCCTGCTTCCAATCCTCTGTCCCCCCTCCCTCAGTGCTCCTCCCCCACTCCTGCTCTCTCTCTCAAAAATAAATAAACATGAAAAAATTCCACAAGCTTCATAAACTTCAAATGAGCTCATAGCCCACCTTACTCCCCTTTGTAAACTCCCACCATCACCATGACCAAAGCAAAGCCCAAAAACCCAAGAGTTCAGCCCCTCATCTCACACATTCTATAATTACACCTCCATCCATCCATCCATCCATCCATCTCATCCCATTGGTCTACCCATTCACAAATGCTTATCTACTATGCGTCACACAATCATATGCTCAAAATGGTCCTTCTCCTTGGCCAAATGGAACAGTGTCTTGCACATAGTACCATCAAAAATTGGCTAAATAAATGAATGAGCTCACGCTTTATTAGGAGGAATGAGACACAGCTCAAAAATAACTCCAGCATAAGGCAGAATGTGGTTAGTATCCTAAGAGAGATCCAGAGTCCTGTGTGAGTTCACAGGAGGGAAGAGCCCTCCTGGCTGAAGAAGTCAGGAAAGGCTCCATAGAAGAGGTAATGACACACACACTGGCCTTTTCAAAAACAAGTTGGATCACAAGAGCAGATATGATGGGGGAAGAAATGCCAGAGGGGAGAGCATGAACGAAACTGGGGGATGTCAGCGGTTAAAGCTGGGAAGAAAGCAAACAGGTTGTGTGGCGGAGACTGGGCAGGGCTGGAGTTAGGGGCTCCTTTGGAAAGAGTGGTCAAGGAACACATCTCTGAGGAGGAACATGGCACCACCCCTGGCCAGTCACCAAACCTCCACCCCGAGGGTCAAAATAGGGACTCGGGAATTGACTGCCAAGGAATGGCCATAACTGAGAAACGCTGGGGGATTCATTTCATGCCCACCCAAGGTTCCATAAAGATGAGATGTGGTTTGGGAGAGAGGTGAGATAAGGGAGGGAAGGGGCAGGGAAGGACAGAGGGGCTGCCTCAGTCAGGGTAAGGCTCAAGGGGAGAGGGCCACAGCACAGAGAATGAAAGGGTGGCAGGGAAGTAAGGGAGGGAGGGAAAGACGGAGAGCCAACAACACACCTAAGAGAGGCAACAGATAAGGAGGGGACCGCTCAGCAGGAGGCATGGCCTCTGTCTTCTGTATACGCTCAGTCACCTGCAGAGGGTGACATCAGGCCACTGGAGTGAAATCAGAAAAACACTCACTAGCTGTATGACCTTTGAGAGCTCATTTCACTTCTCTGAGAATCAGATCCCTGTTTGTAAAATAGAGAACCGTCATACTCATCTCCCCATTTTGTTCTGACCACTCAGCCTAAAGTGGGGCCCCTTTCCTTCGCTCAATTTCATTTCCTGTAACATTTTCTGGGTTATGTTCCCCATAGCACCATCACCCTTGAAGTAGGGTGACCAGTCATTTCCACTTTGCCTGGACTAAGAGATTCCAGGGACAAGGGATTTTCTCTTTTAAAACCAGGGTGGGGGCGCCTGGGTGGCGCAGTCGGTTAAGCGTCCGACTTCAGCCAGGTCACGATCTCGCGGTCCGTGAGTTCCAGCCCCGCGTCGGGCTCTGGGCTGATGGCTCAGAGCCTGGAGCCTGTTTCCGATTCTGTGTGTCCCTCTCTCTCTGCCCCTCCCCCGTTCATGCTCTGTCTCTCTCTGTCCCAAAAATTAAAAAAAAAAAAAAATAAACGTTAAAACCAGGGTGGTTCCATAGGCAGGGGCGGCGGGGGCGGAGACAATCCCTTTAATAAATGGCGCTGGGACAACTGGATGGCTACATGCAAAAAAATGAAACTGGACCACTTCTTACATCATACACAAAAATAAACTCAGAATGGATTAAGGACCTAAATGTGAGACATGAAACCATAAAACTCCTAGAAGAAAACACAGGCAGTAATTTCTTTGACATCAGCCACAGCAACATTTTTCTACATATATCTCCTCAGGCAAGGGAAACAAAAGCAAAAATAAACTATTGGGACTACACCAAAATAAAGAGCTTCTGCACCCTGAAAAGAAAAAAAAAAACCATCAACAAAATGAAAAGGGCAACCTACTGATTGGGAGAAGGTGTTTGCAAAAGATATGCCCTATTAGGGGTTATTATCCAAAATATAGAAAGTATTACTCAGCACCAAAACAACAATCTGATTAAAGAATGCACAGAGACGCTGAATAGACATTTTCCCAAAGAAGACAGATGGATGGCCAACAGACATGTGGAAAGACGCTCAACATCACTAATCATCACGGGAATGCAAATCGGAAACACAATGAAGACATCACCTCACACACATTAGAATAGCTGACATAAAAGAGACAACAAATAACAGGTGTTCACAAGGATGTGGAGAAAAAGGAACCCTCAGGAACTGGTGGTACAGCCACTGTGGGAAATAGTATGGAGGTTCCTCAAAAAATTAAAACTAGAAATACCATATGATCCGGTAATTCTACGGATACAAACTCAAAAGAAGATGAAAACACTAACTGGAAAAGACATATGCACCCCTGTTGACTGCAGCGTTATTTACAGTCGCCAAGAAGCAGCCCATGTGCCCTCTGATGGGTAAACAGACGAAGAACATTACTCAGCCACAAAAAAGCACGAGATCCTGCCATTTGCAACAACGTGGTTGGACCCAGGGGGCATTATGCTAAGTGCAATAAGTCCGACAGAGAAAGGCAAATGCCGTTATCATTCCACTTGCGTGTGGAATCTAGAAAACAAAACAAACAGACAAACGAAGAGCAGAAACAGGCCCACAGATGCAGAGAACAAACCGATGGTGGCCAGAAGGAAGGCGGAAAAATCGGTGAGGGGAGTAGGAGATCCAGGCTCCAGTTAAGGAATGAATAAGGCATTCATTAATTCTCTTGGCTAAGAGAATTACAGTGAAAGGTATCACCATAGCATTGCAGCATGGCGGGTGGCAGCTAACTGGTGACGAGCACAGCATAAGGTATAAACTTGTTGAATCGCTACGTTGTACACCGGAAACGAATGTCACATTGTGTCTGGTCCAACTCTACCTCGATTCTTTTTTTGAGGACAGTTCCAAGCAAACCGAGACAAGTTGGCCATCGTGGTTCTAAGACGGTCTTCTTTCTTTACTCGGGTAACTCTCATCTTCCCAACCAAATGGTCAATTCTCTGAGCATAGAGCCTTCCTGTCTTCTTCATGACTGTGGCTGTAGTGTGGGTCGGGTGGGGGTTGAGGAGAAGGGAAGGAAGAAGGGGATCCTATTGTGGTCTGGGGTGTGTCAGCAATTGTGGGCGACGCCCTTCTTTGATTGGCTTAGAGAACCTGCCTCTGAGATCATTCCCCTTTTTATTACAAGATGTTAACTTCCTGTCTGTTATAGCAGCCCACACCTTGGTGAGAAGTCCAGGACTTTGTACACCTGCCAAATGGAGAAAAGGCGGGGGGTGAGGGGGCGGTGACTGGTTCAAGTCCAGTCCCATAGGTTAGCTCCTCTGCCAGACCAGCTGACGAGCACAGTTGGGGGGCCAGGCTGGGCAGAGGTGTGCAGGAAAAGGGAAACCACAGCGACGGAGGGCTGGGCCAGGCCAGAGGCTGCTGTAAATTCAACTAGTCAGCCCAGACCTGTCTGGGGCTCAAGCCAGGCTGGGCTTGGGGCACAGAGGAAGCAAGACCATGGCGAGGAAGATGAGGCCTGTGCTGGGGATGCTCTGTGCAGGTGAGTAGGCTCTTCCCCTGTCCAGGGCCCAGGGGCGGGTGAGACAAGGGGCCTGAGTGCTGGCAGTGCCTCCTCAGGGAGGCCCTCCAGTGACATAGTTGAGTTCCTGCTGGGCAGAATTACAGGTTCTGTTGCGCAGGCGGCAGGTTCCAGGCCAGAACCAGTATCGGGATGGTCTGTATATGCGTATCAGTAAATAAAATCCCGGGCCATTTCTGGAATGAATAATTCATAAATTCTCAAGACTGTAAATTCTGATCCCGAATCAGATCACGAGATCAGACACACGAGCTGACAATAGGCACTAAGTATTTGAAATCAAGTCCCAGAGAAGCCAGAATGTGTGGGTATCGACATGTTCACTACCTGGGGTTTTACCCGTCGCCTTAAAACCAGAGGAAAAGGCAATGGTAAAAGCGATAATATCTCCATCCCACGTAGGGAAACCGAGGCAGAGAGACACTGCAACTTGCTCAATATCATCCCCAGAGCAAGAGAAGACTCAAACCCTTCAAAAACCCAACTACAGGGGCACCTGGGTGGCGCAGTCGGTTAAGCGTCCGACTTCAGCCAGGTCACGATCT